CGATCCTTCTCCCCATCAATCTCGCCCCTGGTCGATCTCACACTTTGCCTTGAGCTTCATTTTGCAATCCTGCGTACAAAACTTAACGTAATAGTGTGGCTACGCGTGTGTCCACTTGAAAATCATGCCTTGAGATTGAAAAAGAGCTGTTTACCACCTGCATGGTTCCACGCCCAAACACAGAGAAAAACACACACACACACAGACAATATGCAACCTATTCATGCCAACAGATGACAAAGCGCATTGAGAAAATGCCAAAATGCTGACTACTGAGGGAGAGAGAGCACAGGGCTGAAAAAAATCTCCTCTGTCAGACTGCAGCGCTGGCAGAAAAGAAAAGCATTGTTAAGGACGGCCACACACACACACACACACACACACCTAGGCCGCCGGTGAGGTGCAAAAACTGGAGCAGGACGGCAGTGCATAACAAACACACACACACACACAAACACAGCCTGTGTGGCCGAAGCACACAGAACAGAAGTAGGGATTTAAATGGAGAGGGGATAACAGAGGGAAACAGAAATCTCGAGGCGGGGACCGCTCTGTTTGTGCACATCTGCTCTCCTCCTCTAGTTAACCTCCATCATCTGTGTTGGTCTTTTCAGCCACTTCTTTTTCCCTTCTGCCGCTCGCTTGCCTCTTCCTCCTTTTCTTTCAACACCAACTAATGCTTCACGATCCATTCTCATCGTCACCCTGTTTTATCGTCACGCTCACCGACTGACCTCGACGTCTTCTAGTTAGTGACAATTTCAGAAGTCATTTGGGGACATGCGATTGGCCAACACGCCCCTCTTTTAGCTGCATTTGCATCAGTGTGTTTGTGCTGCCAAGTGCCTGTGAACCACGCGTCTCTTCGTGGAGCAGTTTGTACTTTGGCGGAGCGAGGTTGTACAAAGCTTGACGGTAATAGGATAGCTTGTTCGAGTTTGGACCCTCCAGCTCTCTGTTCCCTTTAAAAGGTCAGCTCTGTCAAAAACCGTTTGCAGTTTGTCAGCAGCGTACATTTGCCACGTCACAGATCGCCAGAGTTGAACCGAGTGCAAAAGCTCACCGCTGGCTTGTTTTGGCCCCGTCGAAGAAAACACACTGAAGACGTTTCCAGTGATGTGAATCCACCTCGGTTGGAAATTTTTAAAAATGGTCAGATGGTGTGGTGGCGTGAGAGAGATCTCGTTCGGAACTACTACTGCGATCATTATTTAAAAAGTCTTGACGCGGTTCTGATGGAGCCTGGTTCACTAAAACAGCAACATTTCAAACCAGAGGCAATTCACTTCAATAGAACCGACATCTGTGGATTCGCTCGACGAGGTAAAACAAGTCCGACAGCAGAATGGCTTTGAAGGCAGGTACACACAAACAAAGGCACACACACACACACACACACACACACACACACACAGACACAGGCCATGTTTCACTGTACAGGTGAAGGCCCGGTGAAGCAAGGAAACACCATAACAGCATAAAAGATTCATCAGTTACATTGTAGCCTACAGTTGGCAGATGTGCGCACACACACACACACACACACACACACACACACACACACACACACACACACACACACACACACACACACACACACACAAACACACCAGGTCGTTGTTGCTGTCGGCTGTCTCTTTTTTATATGTTGGTGTGTGCGTGTCTGTGTGCGCGCTGAGCAATAGAATCTACAGAGTCATGGCAATATCCATTCAGGAAGGGTGTCTGCTTTCAGGGCGACGTGTTGACACACGCCCACGTAACCGTGGCAACCGGCAATTGCTGCGGGTGCAGATCAAGCACGTTGTCGCAATTATGCAGTCGGAGCCCTCCCCCGAACGATCAAACGAGGACAAATTTGGCCACGCAAACACACACACACGTGCACAAAAAAGGGGACACACACGACGGGTCACATGTCGAGTCTTAGGGCTTTCTTGAACACTTTGGGCTGATGACACGCGCGCAGCTCTGTTTCTTTCTCTCCGTCCCTTCCAATACATTCTCTAAAAATACTCCTCCCTTTTCTCTGACCCATTTCTTATTTTAGCCCTCTCACTTTTTCCTCTCTCTTCTCTCACCCATCCATCCATCCACCCGTCCATCCCTCGCTCTCCGTTATCGCGCAGCGTGAACGCCAGCTAAGGCCCAGCAGGTTTTCTCGGAGAGGTATGACACATCACAGCAGCGGGCACACACACACACACACACACACACACGCACACACAAACACGCACACAAACACGCACACAGGTCATGCAGAGTGAAGAGAAGAGAAAAAGCCTGTGGCATAGCGGTCCGCTTCTCTCTCTGTTTCTACAGCCTCCATCTTTTTCCAGTTTCTCTTTCGGTTACTCGTCTTTGCTGACATCATCTCGCTGTAGAAACATTGTGCGGGCATTTAGAAGTTTGCTGATAGCCTCCAACGCAACACAGCGAGGCTACCGCTTTTAACACCTTATTGGCAGGGCGTCACTTTCCATTTTGAACCCAACAAATATTCCTTGAAGCAACTGCTGACAGAACATTCGGATGAGACAAGTGACATTATAGCATTATAACCACAATGCTCGGTATTCATGTCAGGATCTCTATTTTGAAAATGCACGACACACTGTGCGCCCGAGCACCAAGGACGTGCTCATTGGCAGTCACAGGGGACATTAAAGTTAACTATTTGGTTTTAGCCCTCGATGATGCTTTAGGAAATGAATTCAAAGCAGACAGGGATGTCAAAAATTGTCACCAGACCATTTTAGGCATATTTAGAACCCTTGCACTTCAGAATCAAGAAGATTAGGTTATTTTGATACATTGGAGTTATCAAAATCGATTGTTACACCAGAGGTTTGTATGCTTTTAACAACAATAGCTTTCCCTAAGGTGCTTTAATGACAACCTGAAATAGACTTATGCTACTTCAAGGGTTTATAAATAGGCCTGTAAAGCTTGCAAGACCTCCATTAAATAACTTCAATAAAAAACACATATTATAGATTTTAGAACGCATCACTGACGCTAAATTAGTTGTGACATCATTTTTGTCCTTCACCTAAAAAAAAGGGTTTTTCATGCAGCATTCCCCTCCTCGTCCATCTGTAACGGTTTTGCACTGCCGCTGAACGCTGTGCTTACCGCCGCAAAGATGTGATTGTGATTTAACAAAAAACAAACAATCTGGAGCGCTTTTCTCATTGTGCCACAATGTGGATCCGTGGGAACAGGCCTTTCCCCAGCGCCATGAGAAGTCTGGATGTGAAAGATTAGAGCAGAAATAAAAACCCAAACGGTGATAACGGCATGATTAGTCCTCCAGCTCACCTTTTTTACATTGAGCAGGAACACGTGCTTACATGTAAGCATGAATATGTCTAAGAGGTCGTGAATCTGGTTATATGTTTTCTTCCGGTTATGGTTAATACATTTAGGTATGGAAATGTATTGTGACCTCATTGTTGGAATTATTCATGCCAATGATTTGTATTTGAGAGGGAGGGAGAAACCTAAGTGACCCATGCATGAGTTTGAGTTGAGTAAAAAAAGCGAGTTTGTTATACAGGAGAAGATCGAACGACGGAAACAGACGTTAAGACAAAGAAGATAATGAAGAGGAAAAAAAATCTTGTTACTAAAAAGTTAACTGTGAAAAATGTAATTTGTTTTACTCAGACTTCAGATCAACGCTAAGATACATCTATATCTTCTATTGTAAACATGCTAGGATGGGATCCTTTAATAGCCAGCACGCACACGAGGGAAGATTACAGCAAGCAGAAAAAAATGTACATATCTGACTATTGCTTTCAGGGAGACTTGAAAAAAAATCCATCCGCGAGGAGAAGCGTAGAGAGGATGAGAGCAGAGTTGCTGTCAGTTGTGCTCGGCTGCTTCTCTCCTTGTAAAAGTGCCTGTTTCTGCAGCTGCTCTCCCTCTCTGTTATCCTCACCTGATCATCGTTGCCTCTTTCCTCCCATCTCCCTCTCCCTCTCCTCCCTTACTCTTTCTCAACCTCCCTGCCACACTTCGCCGGCTTCAGCAAACGGCTCCCCTGTCATATTATCTCCCACACAGACACAGAGGGAGAGAGGGGGGAGAGACAGAGAGAGAGGGGGGGGGGAGAGAGATAAGCCTACGAAGTGCCAGAGGCAGCACTGCAACCACAAAATATACTGTTTACACCCACACAAAAAAACATATGCACAAACATATGTTGTCTTTGTGAGACACACGCGCACACACACACACACATACATGGCCCTCAATAGATAAACATTGGGACGCCCATGTGCACAAACACACACTAAGAAGGCCTCTGTGGGGGGAGGGAAAGGCCCACCGCGGGGCATAAAAGTTCAAACTCGGTAGACCACGTTCTTGCTATATTTTCTGTTGCATTGAATCATTTTGAGAATATCTGCCATAAATAGCTATTATTGATATCCAATCTCTCAGTGCTATCAGGGTAAAATGAATGCAATGCCAGATAAGACTTCAAAGGGATTAGTTTGGTGCTGATACATATTCTATATCTCGGCATCGTTGGCCAATGAGTACGTTATGTTTTCAGCCACACTGTTAATATCTAAAACCTTTGGTGACATGTAAAGCCCATTTTTTGGGCGGAGGTGGAAGAGGAGAGCGGATTAAGACGGGCTGCGCACGAGGGAATAAAAACACCGTATTCTGCGCTGTAACCTAAATGTTTCCACAACAACAAAATCGCAATAAAAACACTACATATTCATGCCAAGTAAGCAGAGCGAGAGAGGGCTTCTCCAGTTGGCTTTTCCCGTGTTTCCTGTGTGGTCCGCTCAAAGGGTTAAAGCCCAAAGTGAACTGAATTGTAAGAAGTTGGTTTCCAAGGGAAACTGTTCGCACCGTTCCAGCTGAGGCGGGACAAACCAACTGCCTGCCATGGCGGGGAGAGGGGTGGCTCGACGAAACGACGAACTGCGCGCCACAACCGCGTCACTTCTTAGGCACCAAAGCGCGTCTTTCCGCGTATGAGCTGGCGCTAAAAATGCCCACGGCGACATTGTTTCGTTGTTGAGCGCGGTTTAGCGGATACAGTTGTCGGTGTTTCTTGCGTCCACCCCTCCCGTGGAGCTGGAGTGCCGGGGCCCCTGCCAAGTCGGTTTGAAAAGAGCAGACAAAGGCTTTGAGCCCAGGACGCCCCTCTCTCTCTCTCTCACTCTGCCTACAAAGCCAACCGGGCTCTATCTTCTTTTTTTTCTGCTTTTCTGTCATGGAAATGTTTTTAAATGCGCGGCGTTGAGAGTGTCGGTTTTATTTTCACTTTCCCGTACTGAAATGTACGACCGTCTGGATCCCCGCTCGGCCGAGAGAGGAAGGCTTTTCGTAGGTTTAATACAAGGAAGCGTCGTCTGAGAGAAGGGAGCGAGAGGGGGAAGGATTGACGCTTTTTCCTCCTCTCCTCCTCCTTCCTTTAGCCCCCCTCGCCTCCTCTTTTTGGCGGAGAGAGAAGTTGAGGCAGGAATAAACGCTTTTTTGTTTTTGCCTTTTTTTTGTTTTAAATGCATTTGAATCCGACTGCGCAACGAGACAGTATCACGTGGGGTTGGAGAGAGTTGGGTCGATTTTGCACACTTCAATGTGAGAAAGATAAGAGAAACAAACAACTATTTCTTTTTTTTTTCTACTTCTGTGGATAACTGGTACTGTTGATACTTTTGCATAACTGCAACAGAAGGGGAGTCGGTTCGTTTTTTTCAGCCTTGGAGGTGCGGAGTATTAATTCTTATATGCCTGGGGTTTGAAAAACAATGGAGACGCACATTTCGTGCCTCTTCCCGGAAATTATGGCCATGATTTTCAGCTATCTGGATGTGAGGGACAAAGGCAGGGTGGCCCAAGTGTGTATCGCTTGGAGGGACGCGTCCTACCACAAGTCAGTGTGGAGGGGGGTGGAGGCCAAGCTGCACCTCCGCCGGGCCAATCCCTCCCTGTTCCCCAGCCTCCAGGCCAGGGGCATCCGGAGGGTCCAGATCCTGTCCTTGCGTCGCAGCTTGAGCTACGTGATCCAGGGAATGCCCAACATAGAGTCCCTCAATCTGTCCGGCTGCTACAACCTCACGGATAACGGGCTGGGTCACGCGTTTGTTCAGGAGATCCCATCGCTGAGGGTGCTGAACCTGAGTCTGTGCAAGCAGATCACGGACTCCAGCCTCGGCAGGATAGCTCAGTATCTGAAGAACCTGGAGGTGCTGGAGCTCGGCGGTTGCAGCAACATCACCAACACCGGGCTTCTGTTGATCGCCTGGGGCCTGCACAGGCTCAAGAGCCTCAATCTGAGGTCCTGCAGGCACGTGTCGGACGTGGGGATCGGACACCTGGCGGGCATGACCCGCAGCGCGGCCGAGGGCTGCTTGAACCTGGAGTACCTGACTCTCCAGGACTGTCAGAAACTGACGGACCTGTCACTCAAACACATTTCCAAGGGGCTGACCAAGCTCCGGGTTCTGAACCTGAGTTTCTGCGGCGGTATCTCGGATGCTGGAATGATCCACCTCTCCCACATGACCTCGCTTTGGAGTCTCAACCTGCGCTCCTGCGACAACATCAGCGACACGGGGACCATGCACCTCGCCATGGGCACCCTGAGGCTCTCTGGGCTCGACGTTTCCTTCTGCGACAAGATCGGGGACCAGACCTTGGCCTACATTGCCCAGGGGCTGTACCAGCTCAAGTCCCTGTCCCTGTGCTCGTGTCACATCTCTGACGACGGAATAAACCGGATGGTGAGGCAGATGCACGAGCTGAGGACCCTGAACATCGGACAGTGCGTGCGCATCACGGACAAAGGGCTGGAGCTCATAGCCGACCACCTGACCCAGCTGGCGGGCATCGACCTGTATGGATGTACCAAGATCACCAAGAGGGGACTGGAGAGGATCACGCAGCTCCCCTGCCTTAAAGTGTTGAACCTGGGACTCTGGCAGATGACAGAGAGTGAGAAAGTGAGGTGATTGGAAATGTTTTTGTGGGTTTTTATGGGGATGGGGACAGAGGGTGACACAAGGAGCAAGAGGAGGGGTATTAGATGGGCGGTTAAACTTCTTTTCTTATTTGAAAAAAGAGCGAGAACGTGCCGTTTCCCTTCTGTGTGGTTGTGTAAGGTGTGCTTCTCCCATGTGACCAATATTTTGTGTTCAAATGTTTTATTTTTCTCTCTGCTGGCCTTGCAGGATTTCAATTAGTATTTTATATGACTTAATATTCTGCCTGGTAGGTAGCAATTAAAACTTGCTTTTGCTTGGAGCTCGTGAAAATCCCTCCTAACAATTGCTTTGATCTCGCGTTGAGTTTTAATATCTCAGAAATTCTGACATCAAACTGGAATAACTAGTAATGCAAATCAGCTCGTTTCACACATTTAAAAAAGGAAAAAAAAAAGATAAAACAGTGAAATTTTAGTAATCTGCTTACTGGCAATTGCCTCCGGAAATCTCTTAAAGTGAAACTTTAGCATCCATCTACGACTTCTTTTTTTATTTCGAATCAAAAGTGAGGTTTAAAAACTTTTTAACAGTGAGTTCGGAACTAATCTTCGCTACAGCCATCACGCCTAAAACATGTGGCTACCTCGTACGTGGTTTTATTCAAACGGTGTATACTGTTAAAAAACAAAACAGAAGCAAGGCGAGAATGAAAGACTGGGAAAAAATGTGCCTAAAGGGACTGTGTCGCCCCCCCCCACTCCCCCATCTCCCCCCCCCCCCCCCTATCTCTCCCTCCACGAGCAGAGCTGGAAAAAGGAGACCAAGACACAATCTAACTACCTTTTGTTATTTTACCCCCCATAAACAGCATCAATTTCCCAGCCAGCCAGAGAGCGAGAGAGAGAGAGAGAGAGGACAGCAGGCTGTAAAATCCATTGAGATTTTAATGACGACGCTTTATGCAAAAAAAAAGCAAAAAACTAAATATAAATCTGCTCGTGTGCAAAAGCTTTTTTTAAATTGTTGTATTTTCCTCATCTTTAGGGATAAAGTCCAACTTTCACGCCCCTTCGGAGAGAAGTTGTGTTAAAGCGTCGGCCAAGATAAAAGGAGAAAGATTATCAGCTTTTCCTTTAGAATAAATACCTTTTGTCGTCCTATAATAATATAATAGACGTATAGGAACGTCAGCGCTATAACGCTAGATAAAACTGATCAGGCCCGTATGAAACACAATATACCTGCATTTGAGAATGTTATAGGAATATCCAGTATTTTGTTCTGAGGGGTGTTGGTGGAAATAAATGTCAGTGGATGTTGTTTAGAGCGCCGTACTTCAAATTGAAGTGATTTCTATATCTTATACCCTTTATTGATCGAAACAAATCAGGGTTTTTCTCATGGCTTTATTTTCCCACGTTAATGGAGACACAGGTCGCATTCATATTCATGTTGCTCCCACCGCTGTGAGAGAAAGAGAGAGAGGAGGCTACGAATATGTCTTTTTATTTTCCTCCTCTTTTTCTCCATCTCTTCCCTGAATTAAAAAATACCCCATTTTGAGACACGCTTAGAATAAGTAGCCATCGATTTTTTTTTTCTTTTCCCTCTGTCTGTGTCAGGTTGCAAGCGGGCTGCGTCCCTTTACCTCCCCACCTCTCCCCCCCTTCTTTCACACACCCACACGTTGACACGCACACGCGGAGGCCTGTGTGTGCGCATTTTAATGTAATGCGAATGATGGCCTGCTAGAAAAATTAATATACGGATGTGCGTCCTGCTGAAACCGCTGTGTGTGTGTGTGTTTGAATAATGAAGATGTACTGTATATTATGTGTTTGTAAAGAAGAAGAAAAAATGCAGAATCCCAAAATTAAATTGTTTTATATTCTTACGGTTAAAACCATTAAAGATATTTATATAATGAATGAAAAGAGCAGTGTGGACTACTTTTGTGTAGCTGTAGAACTCCAATGTCGACATGCTTTTCCCCCCCCCATTAACACGGTAGTTTCTACATTGTTTATGCCTACAAGACACCCGGTGCTGCAATGGTCTGGTTCCTCAATCACGTTGCCCATATTCAGGCACATTTAAAAGAATAAGGGCTTTTATTGTAACGTATTGGTCCTAATAGCCACCCACACATTTCTGAGTATTGTCCCTGAACAGACCGGCCTTGCCTCTCAAAAAGGCTGGAGAGAAAAAAGGAAAAAATCTGTTGTGTTGTTGTATTATTTACGAGGAGATTCAAAATGGATGCTTGCCGTCTTGATTTGGCTGCAGTGCCTGTGTAATTAATTATAACCACGGCGTTTATTATAGGAAGCGGTTCTCCTCTGCTGACTTTTTAAAATCATTTTGTGTCTGTTTTTTTTTTTTTAAGCCTTAAATGCAGCAAGAACAAAACCAAACAGAAAAGAGTTTCACTGGTAGAGAACCAGTTTTACATTTAAGTCCCAAAAAGGTCAGAGCACAAGTCCAGGTTGTAGTTGGTGGATTTCATGGTTTGAATGGGAGGTTTTGGGTATTAGTTTTGGTCATTTTTGCAGTGTTTTATTTCACATGCGGCAGAGCTGCCTGTGTGAAAACTGCATGTGTGGTAAACGAGATCCAAAGTTTGTTAGAGCGATTTCCTCCATTCTGCCTTCCATCAGACACACACACACACACACACACACACACACATGCGCACACACACAGGGTTGCCAGACCAGTCAGTAGCCATTGTCTGTCTTTAGAAGTTAGGAAGGCAGGTTCTGGTGGGGGATTTTTTTTTCTCCCTTTTCGTCTCTTTCTCCTCCTCTTGTTCAGTCACGCATACCAGATCCTAGACCAGGCAGGGGAGAACCCCCCCCCCACACACACACACACTTTTTAGCATTCCACACCATCATTCAAAGCATTTAAGCGATCTCCCTCCCCTAACTCTGTCCATGGGGATTTGGGGATAAAGGCCAGCCGAGGGATTGTTGACCACATGGACAGAGGGAGACAGAAAGAAAGAGGACACAGCGAGTGAGAGAGAGAGAGAATGTCAGTGTTTGCTGTTTCTTAACTTTGCTTTAGCCGGCCTTTGGTCTGGTGCAATAACACTGCAACGAGTGCTAAGTCCCTGAGTGTGGAATTTTGTGCAGCTTTGTCCCTGAAACAGACGAAAAATCAATCATTGTCCTTCCGTATGTCGGTTGGGTTTGTTGAATTCTTGATGCCGCGAACCAAGAGAAACTCTAAAGGAAAAGCTCTGTGACGCAAAACGGCAAAACTGTATACTGACAAACGAGTAGAGCGCCGGGAGAGGAACAACGTGACCGATTGTTTCCCTCATCCGTTGACGTTTGGGGTCTGCAGACCTTTCCCGACAGATACAGGAGACTTACGAGGTCACATCACGCGCTTCCACAGAAGGCTCTGCAGGCTGAAATGTAGGCCGACGGAGATACAATCAGCTGCATTCACATGATAATGTGATACTTTATTAATCCCCACAGGGGGAAATCTCTTTTTTGTCTGCCACCCTCCACAGGGAGGTGAGATGTCGGGCCCCCGGCTCCAGAACCCCACTGCTGCTGGGGACGTGGCGTCTTACCCGAGGACACGTCGGCAAGGTGGAGGGTTGTCTTGTATTTAGCGTTAGGTCACCTTGCCTCACTGTCCCCCCTTGCTGTGCATTTGCGAGTCCTTGGGGTGAGAGTGGGGGAGGGGGTGTGTGTACCGTAGAAGGAAACGGGTCTCCCTTTGACGGAAAATGCAAAACCGTCCCTTTTTGTCTGCGATCCAGTCTCAGTTTGCATCTAGAATATAGACATCGGGATGTCAAGCTTCCATCAGGACACGCACGGCCTGTCCAGGTTGCTCGGGGGAATCAAGTCTGAGTGTTAACTGTATGTCTTGGAGGTGATCAAATGTGTAAAATACCACATATTGACCGACACATTTACCAAATCCTTCTGGTATGACTCGTCCACGTTGCTCACAATTGGAATCCAACAACTCGAGGACGGGGACGAGAGCCGCGAGGATGAATACTGCCGGCGCAAAGGCAGTAACAGTGCCAGGTTTGGGGTTTTGTTTTTTCCTGTGTAACTCAAAAAGGTTTCACCGTGGCAGCCATGCAAAACTCCCGTGCCCTGCAAGGCAGCAGCATGGGACCAAAGGGCTCACCGAAGGGCTTTATCTTTAGAACATAAAGACTCACCGTTCAAACCCGCGTATCCCGACCGTCTGCGTGACTGACAGCTCCCAAACAAGTTAATTCAAGAGCTTACGGGAACCCAAATGACACAAAGGCCTTACAGAAGGACAGACATGTGGGCCCCCGCCATGTGAAACAAAACCATTTCATGCCATAAATGCCGCTTTCGCTTTTGAACTTTGGTGTGTGAGTGAGTGTGCATTGGTCCCGCAAGTCGTAAAAGTTGAACTGTGACTCGTCACGTCGAGGTCTGAACCACATTTCCTGTCAGGCCGGGAGGAACAGCAGTGTGTGTGTGTGTGTGTATGTGTGAGAAAGAGAGAGGGAGTGTTTGTTTTACTGCTATCATTAAATGAATTGTACACCATTAAAAGGGGAACTGGGGTTCTTCACAACAAAGCAGTAGAGGTATTAGCAGCGGAGTGTTACTGCCCTCCGCCCCCATTACCTCTCTGTCTTCGGCTGCAGCTCCTTGTCTGCTTCATCCGTCTGTCTGGCCAGTTTCGGGCCTCTGCCATTCTGTTTATTGGCTTTCACGCCTTTTCTCTTGTCTATTTTTTAATTCTGCAGGCGTTTCCCTCCCGTGTCTTCGTCTCCACCTGCCTACTTCCCACTCCTTTCCTTTTCCTCTGATTCAAACGCTCGACTCCTCACCTCCTCAACCCGCTGACATTATTTCTAATACCCTCCTCTAATGCCCGTGGTCCCTCCCACCTCTTTCCTCTGTCTCCTTTCTCTCGCCCCCCCCCGCCCTCGACATTTCCATTTCTACCCTCCATCACCCCTCCTTCCTCCTCTCGGCTGCACCTGGTGTTGAGGTGTCGCCGAGGTAGTCCTACAGTAGACGTGTCTTTGAAGTCCCCGGGGCCCCGGGGGCTGCGTGTGTGTGCGTTTGCGTGTGTGTGTGTGTCAGGAAGCTTTTAAAAAAAATAATCAGCAGCTCCAGTCAAGACCATTTGCGATGCTTTTGATTTTGGCGTCTCTAATGTTAAAACGACCTTCCCTGCAGAAGCGATTGAACATGTGTGTCTACTGTATTTCTTGATTATGCATATCGGGGGGATTTAGATCTCCTTTGCTGTTCCTTCTTTGCTTTCAAACCAATCAAAGCTGGACAGGCGGGACGGTTCAAGTTCTTTTTTTACTAAAGTAAAGTAAAGTAATGGGGAAAAAAACTATCCTTTTTTTTTGTCTATGTAAAATGAGAAAATTCCCTTCTGTCCTGTAGTCAGCATCCAACCTGGAGAAAGAAAGACAGAGAAGTAGAGGGGGGCCGGTAAGAGAAAGTAAGAGAAAAACAGAGAAAGTGATTAAAAAAAATAGAGAAAGGAAAAAGAATCAAGGGAGAAACAGACGAGGTTGGAGGCAGAGAGAGAGACAGAGAGAAAGAGAGAGAGGAATCTGTGAGTCACTGTTTAACTGTGGGCTGGTAAAAGTCGGCTAGCCATGTTAAAATACCGTCTGGGCACAAACCCACACACACACACACATTAATAGCGAAAGTCCTGCTTCTACCTCTCTCAGACGTCGCTACCCAACAGACCAGCTAATTATTTTCAGTTGGGCACCAGGCACGCACACACCTTTGCTACACATTCCTCGGAAAGTAATGAGCTGCTTTTCTACAAAAGTAAGAATATAGGCGAAGGTCAGACGTAATTATCACTTTTTCAGAAAGTCAAACTCTGCAGCAGAGGAGGAACGATTACATCATCCAACCTCCCTAAGTGATTCATTTTGTTTTACAATAAAATCTAAAAATGCACATTTTTACATTTGAGAAGCTGCAACGGTGAATAATCACTAGTCAAAATAGGATTGTTTCAACACTACTTTGGTGCATTTTCAAGCCTTTTGACTGGCGAACCTTTCATTCAATAGCTCCTCTGGGTGCTCAACTGCTTATTATTCTTATTAGGTCATTTGCGGCTCTAGGCCTTTTTCTCATTAGGCAACGCATGCAGATATTAATCCATCCTCTACGTCGCACGCCAACATCTCAGCTAAACGAGTCCCGGAAACTCTTTTCTCTATTAGCATGATAGAGATCCTTGGACTTTTTCTTCAATATTTACGCCACGCAGTATGCGGCACGTTGGCCAGATCATCATTGTCGTGGTGTTTTTTTACACCTAGCATTGAGAGTACAGCAGGCTAAATATTTCATTTGAAACGACAACACCCTGCTTCATTGACAATCAAACCACGGAAGCTGTCGCTGAATCTTTTATAAAAAAATAAAAAAAAACTCAGCAATTACAATGGGAAATGGATAATTATGCAGCATGCAATGTTGACTTCTGCTCAATACTCTCGCTCCATTCGACGGTACCCAGCGGAGAAGGACAGGGGAGGATGGACAGGGAGGAAGAGAGGGGGAGAGAGAGAGAGACAGAGGGAGGGAGAGGGGAGGGGATGACATGTGGGTTCTTTTGGGATTTCTTTGTCTCGATATGGAACCACGTGAAGCTTTGACAGGAATGTGACAGATAACTGCAAAGTAAAAAAAAAAAAAACCCGTCAGGCTCGCACCCATCCTATTTTGTCAGGTGAGACAGTGTTTTGGTAGCGTGGGAGGTGCGACGGGTTCGGCGTGTGCCCGCCTCCTGTGTGCATAATGCATGCACGTGGACAATCAGCGGTGTCTGCGCGCGCACGCCGTCTCTCTGTACCTCCCCGTCAGCTCGGCTTGTCGTTCAAGCATCAATAAAGGAGGAACTTTTTCTCTTCTCTTCCACG